TAATTTTTACCTTATTTCAAGATACACAATCGACTCCCAGACGAGTAAAGCTTTGTCTCAAAGAGGTTATTAACTGTTCCGAGATCCCGGATAAAGAAAATTATTAAAACTTCAGAGTAATTTTTAACAAGGTGAACATAAAGTTTCATAATATACATAAAAAGATAATTTATATTTATTTATCATAGAATATTTATTTGTCACAATACGAGATCCTTAACCATATCACCATGACCTGCCGTAACCTATTTTGTGACAGCTTTCTTCACGCTTTCTGCGCATGCGTAATACGAGAAAGAAAGCAATATCTGTTATCTCCTTCTATCCGCCATCTTTTGTCCGCTTTGGCCAAACTCTGATTATAGGATCTCTAGATGGTAGATAAACAAAAATAATGTAACTTCAATTTTATTAGTACATTCAATAAAATAACTTTAATAACACTTCATATCCTACACCATTAACACATATACAAGAATTAATATATTTAATACACAAATTGTTACCTATAAAATGAAAGGCCCTTTTTACTTCTTTGCCCACACCAGGCACATAGCACTTCATGTTGACGCTTTGTAGACAGTCACGCGATTTTATAATCCTTCAACTATAATCTCACATACAATAATCTTGCTGACAATAATCTATGCGTCTTACTTCTTCTTCGCGTGAGAATATGCATAATACGAAAGTCTAAAAGAGTAACATAAACTCATTTGCGGGTTTGAAGCCGGTCACACTTTCCAAAAATGATGACGCAATAATACGTCCGATCATGTCGCACGGTGGGTCGAAACATAGCAAAACACGGACATAGGGTAAAATTATTTTTTCGCTATAAAAGGCTTCAAAGGCTGCGGTCCATTTGACGCTACAAACACTTCGAAGCGTTTTTGATTAGTCAATTTGTAAAATTCTTTGTTCTGATTGGTTGCTCAAACGCTTCGAAGCGTTTGTAGCGTCAAGTGGACCGCAGCCAAAGTTGGTTTTAATTATTGTTCAAAGCTTGTTTCAACTTAATTTCAAGTATAAAGCGAACCATGAATGTTTATTGTTTATATGGACATTAACAATGTGTGGAAGAATTAGAAATTGTGAAGAATTAACGTATATTGTTATCATCGATTCGGAGCAATGCTATATATAAATGCTTATATTGTTTACAATGTTTCTTTTTTATTAGATTTGTTTGTAACAAAAGCTATTAAAAACTATTATTAATATTCAAAATTTGTCTCATTAAAATTAAAAAACTTAATGCTTTGTAAACGCTTTTTTGAAGTACAAAATCCATTCAAAAGTGAGGTATACAAAAAAAGTTCCAAAGAATTCCAAGAAACTTTTTTTCAGAATGCAGGGAAACTTGTTAGGAAACTATCTGTTCACTGATATTTTGCCCCTTCTTGCCCCTTTTCGAGAAAAATGCATTTATAAAGCATTTATACGTGCACAAATTTTATGGGTGGCACCCAGTTGGACACGGCTCAATTGGACACGAGTCACTCACAGCGCTTGAGACTACAAAGCTCCTAAGCACCGGTCGCTGTGATTGGTGATGTCCAATCGAGCCGTGGTCAATCGTGATCACCCCATTTAAATCACATTAATTTTAAATATCATAAACGTTATATTTCAGCAACATAGAGCTCTGCTACACGGCACGTTTAATCGGGTTTAATAACATCCGTAGTTATGAAATTGGCCAATCACAGCTTTTCCTCGGGAGAATGGAATGATTGTGATTGGCCAGTTTCATAAATACGGATGTTATTAAACTCGATTAAGGGTGCCGTGTAAATGTAGTCACAAATATAAAATGAGCCTTAGATGAAGAATTGTTGTAGAATAGTATGTATATCCACTCATTTTCTAAATTTTTACGTATATTTTTTTAACAAGTATTTAGTTGATGTAGTCGTAACATGCATGAGCAGTCATTTCAGAAGTTATAGAAAGTTAGATACAGGTTAAAGAAAGAGAAATAACGCAAACATATACCCTTCTTTCTCGCAAGATTTTGACAAAAACGCCTTATATGGTGTGACTCTTATTATATATAAGTAACTTATATGTGATTATAAAATTAAATTTACCTAATAATTTATATTTGTAAGCGTTATTTACAATAATCTCATTTTTTTAAAAATGAGAACATTCTGATCTCAAAAATAATTTTTTTCAAAATTAACTTTTTTTTAAACTTAAGTTAATTCAATCTTAACTTAACTTTTATTAAGTTAATTCTTTATTCCTTCAATTTTTAACTTAATTTTATTAATTTTATAAGCCATTAACTTTAACTTAATATAGTGTTTAAAAAAAACATTAACTTACCAATCTTGATAATAATAAATTTCTTATTGGTTGTGCTCTCACATGAATTTCTTATGAAACCTAATATTGAAATAGATAAAGAAATATACATATAACAAAATTTGCATTATATTTGTATTCTACATCATTTTTTACCCCCCTTTTTTTTTAGTAAATTGACGCATTTATCACATTTTGCGATTTTGGGCGACTTCAGCGCGCTCGGTGTGCGATTCCACATATTACATATCTGGCAACCCTGAATTACAGCATACGGCGTACGGTTAAGGCCGTTCTACAATTAGTTGCAAACACCCCGTTGCCAGTTGCGGAGTGACAAGTTGCCAGTCACAAGTTGTAAATCATTGCAACACCTAATCCACATTTGGATATCGAACGTTGCGATTTGTATAGAAACAGCCAATCAAAAAGTAGAACGTCTGTCGTTCTTTGTTGTAGCCGAAAAATCGAAGAGAATACATCAAGCAGGTTATGTGAGGGGTGATCCCGATTGACCACGGCTCGATTGGACACCACCAATCACAGCGACCGGTGCCTAGGAGCTTTGTAGTCTCAAGCGCTGTGAGTGGCTTGTGTCCAATTGAGCCGTGTCCAACTGGGTGCCACCCGTTATGTGATAGATATTCGAGATGTTCTCGAAATGAAAATGAAATAAATCACATACCACCGATATATCACAACAACTTTCATTTCACTCTTCGAGCTTTTTGAACACAATATTTGATTGGCTAAGATGTTACGGTAGACAGTTGCTATTGCCAAGGAGTTAAGGGCATTAAGGGCAACTAAGGGTATTTGCAACTCATTGTAGAATGCCCTTTAAAAGTTGGGCAACTCTTCGTTGGCAACCGCGACTATCTATTGCAACCGGAAATAGCACTTTGCAACTAGTAGTTGCCAACCTTTACGACTGGCAACGGGGTGTTTGCAACTTATTGTAGAACAGCCTTTACTTCAATGGCTGCGTTCAGCAGACTCAATAGTTTTGTAACCGTTTTATGATTCCTTGCGTGTTGATTGGTTTATACTTTTAGATTTAAAGGAATAGTCCAATCTGGGTACTTATCATGAAATATGTCGGAATGGATTCCGATCGAAATTATTCCCTAGATTTCTATTGTGTTTTCTGGGGAAAACGAAATAATTCCGATCGGAATCCATTCCGATTATTGCCATAATAGGTACCTTGTTCTATGATAGGTACCCTGAGCGAAGAATCATAAAACGGTTGCAAAACTGTTGAGTCTGTTGAACGCAACCAATATAAAATAAACGCTCCCATGGTCGGCACGCTTCTATATACTGACACCGACGAGATACTATTAAAGACCGACATCCTTACGGGAGTTTGCGTCCTTGTGAATATTGAAGTGATTAAGAGTTAAAAACTGATAATATTGTACTAATTTTATGATTTATTAGTTTAGTAGATGTATTTATGCATTTATAACTCAATAATACTCGATTTTTCTTTAAAATTGAGATTTCAGTGTTATCATCAAAGTTTTATTATCAATAAAGATGTTAATTGCAGAGAAAAAATTGTGATTTTTTTGCAATATATAGGATATTACAGCTTTACAAGTATGTATATTTATTTATGGGATATTTATATAATAAAAAATCATGAATTTAATAATGCATGAGCCAAATATTTATGTTAATAATAGCAAATTTATATCAATTGTCGATAATGTCAGCGTTCTTGAATTACCTCCGAGTACTTGGGGCCCTTTTTATACCGCCGAAAATTTGCCCAGGGTTGACAGTCTTTAATAATATCTCATCGGTGGTGATACCGATGAGGATTTAGAATTAGTACAGACACGAACCATATCTGCTTCCGACGATACGATTTTGACCACTTGACGCTACAAACGCTTCGAAGCGTTTGAGCAACCAATCAGAACAAAGAATTTTACAAATTGACTAATCAAAAACGCTTCGAAGCGTTTGTAAATAGCGATAGCGATAGAAATAACACGATTTCAACCTATCAGAAATCAGATACACTGGATTATACAGTTTCTGATAGGTTGAAATCGTGTTATTTCTATCGCTATCGCTATTCCTTCGCATTGTGTCTGGGGCTTTAGGTTTCTCTCTGCTCTAGTGGCAGATGTATTGGATGTATGTGGATTGAGATGTATGTAGCATGTTATACTCGGAATTGCTCGGAGTTGCAAGAGTTAATTTTCACTTGATTTTATCTATTGACGTGAAAAATGGGTAAAGAGAATGAATCGGATAGTGTGAAAAAAAGAAGAAAATCTGTGAGTGCAAACAGCGGAACCTCAATGAAAGACGGAGATATGTATAAGGTAAAAAAGTTAAAGATTTTGTTTAAAAAGTTATAAGGTATTTTTTTTAACGTATATAATACTGTAATATTATTTTTTGTTCGTTTCAAATTTCTAACGAAAATAGACTTAAAAAAAAATATCACTTTTAATTTTCGCGATACCAAACAATGATTTCTATCATTCAAATTTTTTATTTTTTCGCTCAAAAATCACTTGATCAATCGATTAGGTATATTTTCGTCAACATCTTAGGTTGAGTTTAATGCATGAAATTACAATTAAATTAAACTAAATAAAATAAAATATATGGTACGTACGTTTACTACCAGAGATCCAGCAAACAATGCAGCTTGTTTGCAATAAAGGGAATAAAAAGATGAATTTTTTACTTCTGCTGCTGCCTCATTAACTTTTGTCTCTCATATCATTGTCAGATAATAATTAATTATGAAGAGAAAGAAGCTGTTGAGAGATTGTCTGAGGATGATTCTGAATGCTTTCTGGCAACTTGTAATGATATTCGAGCGGCGATGAGTAAAATAGCAAAATTAAAGTCCAGTGGTGACTCTAACGTTTGTAACAGATATTCTACATTATCCGTTATTGTCAAGTTTGCTTTAGACTTATTACAAACAAATGTTTTAGGTAAAAGATGATATTCGTGAGCTGCAAATTCAAACGTCACTGGCTTTTATAGAACTGAAGAAACTAAATCGCATGGAAAAATTCCGTACAAAATCTGCACGAGACTCTCTAGTGGCTGCAAAGAGTAGCGTTGATAGCAGACATTTGCATTTACAGAATCTATTGTATGAAGTGATGCATTTGAAGAAAGAAGTTATCAAATGTCTTCAATTCAAGTAAATTTTTGTTATCTTTTGCAAAAGAACCTTTTGACCTTTTTATTATCACTTTAAACAAAATTGAATAATTTTATTTTCTTTGTTCTAGATCTAAAGATGAATTGATAGAACTTGTTTCAGAAGAAGAATTTTATAAAGAAGCTCCAGAAAGTATCTCACGACGTGTATGTATACATAAGTTTTACATAGGGTACGTTCCATTTTCACAGCATGCTGTCAGCATCAATTCATCCTTATTGTCTACCAAATGTTAAACAAGAACAAATGATGCTTATATATATAATAAGTGCTACAAGTGCAAAACGGATCGGACCTATAGAATTATAAATATAATTCGAGAATATATATAAAATTTAATTCTTTTTTTCTTTGCAATATGTATAACACAAACATATTTTAGGAAATAACAAAGAATAATTCCCATCAACTGAGACTGGCTCGTTTAGAATGGGAACTGACACAACGAAAGCAATTGGCAGCATTGTGCGATGAATTGACAGAGAGTAAAAAGGCAGTAGCATCCAGTATTGAAACGAAACAGACTCGTTTGGACAATCTTGCGCCGCAATTGCGCTCTATATTGGAAGTAGGAAAATTTGATTTATTAGTTTAGAAAATATACAGAATGTTGTGTTTTTATTAAATGCTCCTGTGCGAATAACAAATTAATTTTTTTTTTATACTTTCAGGCGAGCAAACCGTTACAAGAAAGTCTTGGATTGCCATTGGATAAAATTCGCCAGGAGCATCAAAAAGCATCGTTGCTCGCATCACCACTCTATGTGTTGTATGCAAAAGCGTCTGCTTACAGAGATGCTTATGGTATAATTCGTATAAAGATTGGATATTATATATTTTTGATTTATGAATAATAAAATTTTGTACAGATATTGTTTCTTCTGAAATATTTTGTAGATAATACGTTGCTAGTCAAGGTGGAAGGTGACGAGGACGAAGCAAAACGCGCAAACAATCATGACGGTTTACAAGAGTCTGATTCGGATCCTGAGAGTCAGTTGGAAAGTATTGTGGAAGAAACACTCGTGCATAAGAAAAGACATCACAGATTATCCCGGGAAGCGAGGCAAGAAGAGAAACGATCTAAACTATTACAACGTCATCCGTTACATGTAAAAATACTTATCACATTAAAAAGTGAGTTTTGAATAACAAAAATCTACTGTCTTATAAGAAATGAAAAAAATGTTTAAAAGATATTAAAGTTAAATTGAAAGATAAGATTAAATAACATTGAGAAACAAAATTTATTTCATATTTATCGATCTGAATTTATAATTTTAAAATCTTGAGAAAAGAAATTTTATTGCAAATTTAAATTCGTAGATGAGACAAGGCTGACTCTTCACTTTTTTTACATGGTATATTTAAAAGTCGTTACAGTAGAGTCAAAACTCGAAACAGAAGACTTGGGAGGTATTAGTGCTGGGTATGTATAACTCATATATATATATATATATATATATAATCTTACATATTTAGATGAACTTGTGTAATAAAATATAATTGACAATATAGAATAGAGATCTTCTCTTGTTTCCTTTCATTCGACAAGTTTGAGTTAATCTTTTAAGTTGCATGATTAATAGAGACATGCTAGTATCCGAGTCGGTTCTTCGCGAATTGTACCCACGGGATTTAGGGTTGGAGAGTCCGAATCCTGCCAATCAATATCAGTTGTCGCGGCATAACTTGGGATCATTTTCGTCTTTGGGACTAGGCATTCCTTACAGATGGGCACAAAGAATGGCTGGTCTACACTTTGTCTCGTGTGACATGAGCGAACAACAACAAAAGGTACACGTCTTTGTAAAAAATGTTTACATGTATGTCCTGTGACATAAATGTTAAAAATAGTTGCTCCATTTGTAATATACAAAAATTAATAATGGTTTAAATATATAAATCTCTTCCATGGTAGATGCGCAATTATAAAGTAACATATTCTAATTAAAATTCAATTTTGTCATTTTTATTTGTAGCTGACGAGTCAAGAATTGGCACAAGACTGTGTGGAGAGTGTGTTGAAAGAAATTAAACGGCGCATAAAAGCAAGGCTGGATCTATGTATGGAAATACGACAACTAGAGTCCGGCAACCTGCCAATATTTATAAGCACGACGGATCCCGTGCCACAAAAAATCTCAACGTCGTTGCATCGATTCACGACTATGACCTGGAAAAGTTACTCAAATTATGTTGCTTCACCAGAATTTTATCAACGGGGATTAGTGTTGTCTGTAGACATCTTTTACGAAGCTGTACTTCGTCGCGGCAGTAGTATGATTATTATTATTATTATTATTATTATTATTATATCAGATTACCTACACTGATAAATGATTGCTTCCACACGTTTAAATATGAAATTCATTTTTTAGGCGAACTCGTGGCCAGGATTGCTATCAAGCCAGATTACCCTAAGATAGCACCAGTATTTAGCATAAGCATAAGTCCAACAGTGCCAGCGTCCGCCGATATCATTAGAGATATCGAAAGGGAAGTCAATGTGATGTGGACCAAGTCCCCAACATTGACAGCGCAAATACAACGACTGAGAGCATGTTTCGACATCTATCTGGAAACTGAGAGCATGGCTCCGAAGGAAAAGATATTCTTCTATCCTGTAAGAGGACGGACTCGCGCTCGGCCATACAAATATTTATCGTTGGGCGGAGGTATATTCACTCATCGTTAAATAAATTGTATGAATATCAATCGACGCGTGTTTTTTTTTTCAATTTCCTTTATTAATCTATTAGTATTAATAAAAGATGTGAGATTGTTTTCTAAAATTAGATTTTTAACTTTCCCAAATATTACATTTAGTTTTTCATCTTGAAAGATTTCAACAAAAGCTTTTAATCTGATACATTTTAAATTACTTTTTTTAAGAATTTACTTAAATATTTGTTGGCACATTTGAAGTAAGTATATTTATACAGAAATAGACGTGAGTGGTCGTGCGACCGGAGCTTTAGAAATGGTTAAGAGATATGTGCGCAGAGTGTTTCTCAATTGTTTGTTCTCGAAAGACAGTTTATCACACTCTTTTTTCATGAAGATATTATCGGATTTAATGTAATTGAACTGTTCCCAAAATTTGTCCAATTTATCAAACGGTTCTGACATCTGTAAATACTCATTTAAAAACTGAAGATACAAACTTTTTTGTGTATTATTGTACTCGTACAATACTCACGCAATTCGTAAAAGCTCTTCTGGAACCCGTATCGCGTAAAGTATACTTTTGAACAGTCAGCGAGAACGGTTCCAAATTTGAGCACATTCTCAGCAATGAGAGTACTGTCGAGCCTTTTTCTGAAATCCTCTGAAATTCCTGCAAAAAAAATCAAAAAATTTCTAAAATACCTACTTTTCCGGATAGTCAGTCCAAATTATAATAATTTCTTAAACATTTTCTTAAGTATTTAAATTTTTTAATTAAATAATTAATTTGAATAAAAGTTTTATAATTTAATATTATTTTTACTTTTCGAACGCCAGCGCTGATTATAGTCAATTTCTTCAGCTGGGCAGTGTCCAGTACTTGATTCATGGAAAATATCTGTCTCAAATTTTCAGTTTTCTTTTTCATACGTACAATCTGATCGTTCAGTTCCGCTATACTTTGCTCCTGCTTCTGCGATAATGTGTGTGTGTCCTGTTTCAGACTTTTAATTACTCTTTGTAATTGTGTCTGCAGCTTTGGGTATTGTGCCACGTCTGCACGATGAGCGTCATCCTGCTCTTTCAAGTATTCGTACTGTTTTCTCTTATCTCCCGTATTTTTCTCATATTCAGTTATCATTTCGTTAAGTTGTCGCCACAATTTCTCGACCTTATTGGAAACGTAATGCATCAAGCGCGACAAGGAATCTTCTTTCTGAAATATTTTCGATTAAGATTAAGACAATTATTAATATTTGTCATATGAATCACAAAAATGGGAGGAAACTATCCATACCAAGTACTCGATGCTATATATATTAATGGCATTTTGGATTTTTGTTTGCGTCAATATATTTTCTATCCTCTTATCCTGTCCAAAATTTATATTTTGCAGTTGACTACAATACTGCTCTAAATTCTTTCGTATCCTATTTAATTCGTTTGTTTCGTCTGAAACTACACGGTTACGTTCGTGTGCGAAGGATTCGTGCAGATCAGAACACTTTTGTTTGCATCTTCCTATGTAATCATCAATAATTAATAATTGTAAACGATAATATAGATGTACAATGATATAAGCTACCAATTATCAAGTCCATCATTTTAATGTGGGCCTCCTGCAGCCTTCGGTGATCGACATCGGCTGCTTCTAGCTCATTATGTAAACGCTGTATCATGAGATTTTTCGTCTTTATCAGACGATCGAAATTATTCCAAAGATATTCCACATCTTCGCGAAGTTCTTTACATTTTATTCGGCGCAGAATATATCGCCATTGTTCATTGATTTTGGCAGTGTTTAATCGCGCGAACGCCTCTTCACGTTTCAGCTTACTCTATACATTTCAAAATTTATTTAAAAATTGCTATTAAATTATATTTATTATTTCCATTTTGTACCGAATGTACCTTAGTAAAAGCTGCAATCAACTGTTGTTTACGTCGTTTAGCTTCTAGCTCCAATTCGGCTCGGTGTTGTAGGTAGCGAGCGCGTTCTTCGTCGCTCATGCGAGCCAACTTGCTTCCCTTTCCCTTCTTTTTTTTCGGCATTTTTCAGTGAATTAAAGATTTAATATCGTTGCAAATTATTCAAATTGTTTATTTTCAACGAAATACAAATTTTTCCATTAGGAATATACGATGGTCTCAACGCAGCACAATTGTTAAGGTCGGCTATATATGGAATGTTTGATCAATAATAGACTTTAACTTAGTTTAAGACATCTCTCTCTCTCTCTCTCTCTGTGAAATATAAAAATTGTATCTGATTCCAATTAAATAAAATTTGACTCAAGTAAAATATTACGGAATTTTTTACAATTTATAAAAGTTTTATAAAATTTACAAAAATATTTTGGCACCTCTGTTAGACACACTCGACAAAGAATATATATTTGTACGATATTTATATACGCATCATGTGGACATTGTATCTTGTCTTTTATAAGATAATAATCACATTATCTTCAAATATAATAAGGAATGGGAATTTGCGTATATAAAATCTGTTGATACAATATTAAAACTAAATACTTTTTGGCTAAGATTGCGAATAAAGCAAGGCATCAAGAATAAGGTACTATCGAATTCCGAGTTCGCATGGAATTTTCTCACATTCTTCATGAAAATATAATATAGTTGCTCTGCAACAGTATAATAGATTCTATAGGTTCTTTGTGTCACTCTATTTGGTGGAAGACTTAAATGCAATTCGGGCGATAAAAGTATCGATCTTTTAGCTATCTATGTCATATATTCTTCTGCATTGTCATAGGCCTGCTGTCAATTTTCTCTATGGACAACGGTCGTTCTTTTGTTGTCGGTATGAAGCTTTGAGTACGTCGAATCCTCTCACTTCCTCTCAAGGGACGCGTGATGATTTGTGCTTCCAATAAAAATTGAGTCTCTTCGGCGCGTTTCACCTTTTCGCGTGCAGCTCGCAACTCTGTATCCAAATGCTCCCTTTCCGCTTCCAGATGCTGAAGTCGTAGTTCAGCATCTAAAAATTAATATAAAAGAATAATGCAAAAGTAGAAATTTTCAAAGATAGAAATTGAAGAATAAAAATAATAACATTAAGAATATAATATGAAAACTAAAGAAAGAGCTACATATGTACACGTAGTTGTGTAGCTTTTGGAAAGAATCATATTAATATAACTAATAAGATTTAAATCAGATGTTTTATTTTTCATACTATTTAAATGTTATGTACCTTGCAACTGTTGCTCGTTTTTCTTCTGCATTTGTTCAAATTCCATTCTTTTCATCTTCTCCATCTCTAGCAATTCCTGCTGCTCCTGCTGCAGTCTCTCTAATTGCTCTCTTTTCTCCCATTCTTCGCGTAGTACTCTCGCTTGTAAACTTCGTACTGTAATATACATAAGGCGTATCTATCTAAATTATACAATCCTACAAAAACTAATACGATAAAAATAACAGCCTTTTACCTATTTCCTCATCGCGTAGAGCCTGTTTTTCTTCTTGTAGCAGCAACTCTAGCTTTTGTTTAACATCTTCCAGTTGTTGAACTTTAGCACCTTCCTCCTTCGACAGAGTTTCCAATTTCCGAGCTTGTATTTCAGCGGCGATTCTAGCTTGCCTCTCGTGCTGAAGTTCCAACTTGGTCTCTTCTTTTTCCTGTTTAACAGCCTAGCAAGTAATAATACAAGTTATTGAATAAGTGTTAACTAAAACGATTTGATTAAAACATCTTTTACATATTTTTTCTTTGTCAATTAATTTGCATTTACTTGTCGCAAGGATCTTCGTTGATTGGCCAAACTTCTCTGATAGCCGATCTTCTCGTTTGAATGCTGAATGGCTGTTTGTAATGCCGCGAGCCATTGGAGCCTGCCTTTGTGATCCTCTACCATTAACTCTATGCATCTATGTACAGGGGTGCTAAGCACGAACCTTCTATCGGGCTTTCCACCGTTTGTCACAGTATCGGCCCAACAATTAGCGTTCAGCAATATTAATCCGGACGGTTCTTTTTGTTGGGGATCTTTGTAATATGTCAATTCACCGGGACGTAGGACGAACCAAAAATATCGCAATGTTGGCAGCAGGAAACCTTTCTTCATCAAATAGCCCTGCAACGATTTGTAAAAAGAAAAAAATTATTTCATTGTAATACACGTGTTCTGTGTTACCTCTCAAGCCTATATTAGATTACCGATTTTGCAGGCCGATTCGACTGCCAAATCTGATCCATAGTGAACCATCACAATCAGTCATTGTGATTCGTTCATTATGGTCGGTAGTCTGATACGGGCTTTACAACTATAATATGTGTATGTAAACATAAGATTGCAACATGGAGTGTATTCAGAATTATGTATGAAGCGATGATATATAATTTTATCCTTCTTTATTATTCAGTGAACAATATAGATAAATGATGCATCATGCGCTTCTTGCATAACTCAAAACATACTCGTGCATTATTATAGCATGCGTTTAGAAGAAGACCCGTCACACACCATTTGAGAATCAAATTTTCTTCAATTTATTTATAGCAATTTATTTATAGCAATTTATTTATAGCAAAATTGAGCAAAACATAGATTTACCTTTTTCACCACATTCTCTATGTAAATCTGGTAGAGATCATCAATCGCCTCTGATAACGCCATAATGTCCAAAGTATTACCACCACTATATTTGGATTCCAAAACTGCCAGAAATGTGGGAAACCTTCCCGATAAATTTTTCATCAACAAATTGCATTTTTTAATATCTTTATCTTTGCGATTAGTATAGTAAAGCTGGAAATGATAAGTTACCTAAATGTCCCAATAGCCGCTGATAAAGCCGAGAAATCTGCTGCGTCCCATTGTAGACCCAATGACATTACCAGATGGGAAGCGATTCGCGCTACCTCGTCGCCATGCATTATCACCTGCATCACCAAAAGTGACACGTTGATTATCAAAAATTGCTAAAGACATTGGTTTATATAATTTATTATAAGCAACCGCTAACCAGATAAGAATCTGTTGCATCTGAATCTGTCTCGGCCAGCAGACAGTAAATTCTGAATAATTGGTAAACACTATGATCGTCAAAAACTGAATGGGATCTCTCCAGATAGATCTTTTTACAAACCAGCCAGCAAATTTCATCTACCCCTTCTTCCATTGTCTTCAATGTTTGTACAGAGGTAGCATCAGTTATAGAAGAGAACACCTAAAATTGTTGAGATTGCACAGACTGCATCAAGCTGGATGAGCAAAAGCGAAGCAAATGCTCTTGAATGAGTGAGAGTAGTGAAAAAAGTTGAAATAAATATCTTGAGGAAACTTTGGTTCAAAGATATCTGCATTTTGAAAATAAGAAGATGAAGCAAAATTTCTCTTGTATATCTCTTAAAAATCTTAGATTTTGTGTATCTGAATATCCTGCTTTATTTTCAGATACACATTTGCTACAACTTATCGATAAAAGTATGAGCCAAAACGTTTTGAAATACGTTCACACATGTATGTATACATCTTTATATAAAATTCTATCATTTTTAAAAATAATTAAGAGAATTGACATTTGTCTCGTTTTCGATATAATATATGCATTTTAAAAAAGATCTTACTTCTTTCTGTAAATAATAGATGTATTGATCAAACGTTAAACTTGGCGTACTCCGGTAATGCTCCAGGCCTTTTTCTACGCCGTACAAATCTATCAATGTACCAATGTTGGCTGTCAATACCTATCAAAATCAAACACTGAAATGAACAAGTGTCAAAGAGAAAAGAAAACAAAAAAGAGATAGTAGACGATTGCACAATCTTATTTAGCTATCCAAACGGATTTTATGACATTTTATTATTCAAAGTTTCACCTTTAACTTGGATTTGGCGACCGTGTTGGTGGCATCGGCCTGTAGAGCGTGAAATGCATGCCAGATACTGTTGGTAAGGTTTTTGAGTAGATGAGCCATCGCAATCGTCCAACTTGAGGCCGGCAGCAACAGGTGTCTGCTTCCGTTTTTCCACCTGATGAGTATCCCTCCGTATTCTTACGTCCGTTATCGTGGTTTATCGTGGTCTATCGTAGTCTATCGCGTCTGTTTATTGCTCCTCACCGACATTCGAAAGCGCATATTTATCTCTTATCTAAATAGCCGCGAATAGCGTATCTCTTTTTCTTTTCCGTCTCGCTTCACGCTTCACGCTTTTCCTAAGATATCACTCCTCCTCAAGTCCTGTCATCAGCTGTCACTTGGCAAGTCGGCAGCACTCGCAAACACTCGGCACTCTCGACAATCGGCACTGCCCAGCCAGCCCAGCCTGCCAGCCAGTCATCATGCTCCATGGCATCAGGCATAGCATAGCTTCTCTGGCCTAGTTTACATGTCAGCTGCTGCTTCAGCTGCATTCAGCTGATTCAGCCTTCAGGACTGATTGTGAGATGCGCAAACGTCATTATTTTGCTACTGCGCATCTTCGTGAATACAGCTTATAGGTTATACGGTTGTACTATGTACAGCATAACGCCGTCGTAAATCGTAATCGGTCGTAATTCCGTCATGAGTCAACATTGGGCGACATGCCAAAAATAATATGGATTCTTTTGTTGATTCTACAAGTTTGTTTCGTTGGAAATACGGTTGGTTCGTTAGGTGACAGGTCGCAGGTATACAAGCAATGTCTAGCACTGTGTCGCAATAACAACTGCAGAGACGGTAATGATCGGGCTGCGATTTTTTCACATTTTTTTTGAAATCTTTAATATTCTCCTCAAATAGCATTTTCGACCATAGTGGATTTGAATCCGAGATCGGTTAATTCCAGTTAGAAAGATATCATGATCCTGTTCAATCAAAAGGTTCTGTTCTTTTTAGCTGAACTTTTGCACCAGTTCATCTTTCTTTCTTTTCTCTTCAGGAGGAAAGAAGAAGAAGAAAGATGAACTGGTGCAAAAAGTGTCTCTTGGGCTGTGGTCCGATTCATGCTGACAGTGACACACTCATGAGCATCATCTGTCTTCGTTTAACATTTGACAAACAACAAGAATGAAATGACTTTTAAACGTCGGGAGCGTGAATCGAACCACGGCCTTAGTGTGGCGTCGTTAATCGATCTTGAACCTCGAATTGTTTCGAATCCACTACGATTGAAAAAGCATTCCTAAAAGTATAGCAATGCTAGGCCTAGAATATATAGTATTTAATTATTGTATATATACATTTATAAAGAGTATATACTTATATAGAATATTAACAAATTATATTCATATAAAAAGCAATATGTATATGTATATGCAAATATAATACATATGTAAATAATATGAGAATAACAGACATTTTTCTTTATTTTCTTTAGTAATATATTTAAAACAATCGTCATGATTATCCAGAATTATAATGAATATAAATCTTTGATGTAATTCATTATCCTTATTTTTTTCTTCTTCAGTCTAATTTGCTCAGAATATCTCGAATCTAATGAATATTAAGTATGATACTGATCAGTCAAGATACTCTGTATACCGTGTGTTTGATGTATCACACGCGCGCGCGCGCGCTCACACACACACACACACACACACACACACACACACACAAAATAACATTTGTTTTCTATTCTCGAGTTATGTATTATATCAATTTATTGTAAGGTCAAAAAGACACACTTTTCTACAACAATTGTTATTAGTACATACATATAATTTCTTTTTGGATGCATTTTTTTACTTGTAAAAAATATTTCTTTTGTTGAAGGTTTAGTATTTAACAATTTAAAATGTTTTACATGATGCATGTTATAGAAATAAATTTTAAGGAACAACCTCCTTTATTCTTAATCTTGCTACACTGGTCTTGCAAGGAAGATTGTAGTTACATTTGCACATGGAGGACCATTGATTACTTCGTATCTCGTGGTTTGAACATACCACAGTTTCATGGAAAAGTAAGCTAAATATGTAGTCATAATCTTTATTATATGAAAAGATTTAATTATTGAAAGGAAAAATAATATCTGTTTAAATGAACTGTTTTGTAGTATAATTGCATAAAAACACACATTTGCTTACATATTATTTCCATAAAAGCAGATATTATTCTTATAGAATATATATTACTTTTATATAGCATTTTAATTTCTACAATGTATCAATACTACATAAAATATAATAAATTTAGCTATTGGGAATTAGCGCTGTACTATGTGCACGATAAATTTCAAAGTATTGAATTGTATCTTACATATTTAATTATTAATTTGTATATATGTTTCGGCTAATTTTTTAGCCATCCTACATGCAGATGAATCCATGTATGGTGATCCAATTAGGTGAGCGATAAGCATAAGACTACGGTATCCGCATGTTTTTCGTTTTAGCATTCGCAATGTTTTCATGTGAGACAGTCAATCACTATTTCTTAGAGTGAAAACGCAATCAGTTAGTTAGCTGGGTGGTGCAGCCGTGATTAAGCGCCTTCAAGTAATTCACAAAGTTAAAAAAAGTTAAATTCTAATTATCATCATTAACAATAATGGTATAATTTCACCTCCATCAAATCACTGCCGATAAACGTCATTGATATAAAACAAATTCATTGACATAAAATAATTCAATAATTTGAAATTTATCGCGCACATAGTACAGCGCTAATTCCCAATAGCCAAATTTATTATAATTATATTTTTTACATCAGAGGAAATTAAAATTAACATTTGTTTGAAATACTCCATAATATTTGCTCATATAACATTTATATGAATAACAATGGAGATTATTCTTATTTTTGCAGTGGCCATTCATTCGTTTGTTTGGGTGTCAAGAGCCTGCTTCAGTTTTATTCTCTATACTAAATTTGTGTGCACATTGGATAATGTATCGAAAATTTAAAAGAAGGATAGATCAAACCAATCCTATGTTCTACGCTTGGACATATTTCAATATTGTAAGTTCAGTATTCATATATATCTTCGAATGTCGTAAAACGTAGAAAACAATTTTTTACATATACATTTTTTCATTAATTTGGAGTTGCAAACTTTTTTTTAGCCAAGCTGATAAACATTCTTATTCATAGCAAATTTTTAATTTTTAACACATCACATTTTAATGAATTGTAAATCTATTCAATACATTTCAAATGTAATGAAAAAGTTTGTCAATATCTGTAATGTTATGTTTGAAATTAAATTTTTTTTCTGGAAAACTTTATCTTCAATTATTTAAAGATTATTGATTTCTCATAATTTTTTTATTAAGCAAAGAATTACTTCATTCTGGTCAATAAATTTATAGGTAAAAAGCAATACGGATTTTTCACATTTTCTTAGTTATGTATTTCCTCAAGTACTTAAATTGGCTTTAATCAAGTACCTAAATTTAAGGATGTTATTTATCGTTAAACATTTTTCTTTTGACTTATATTAATTCTTGTACGATCTTTGAGTACATAATTTGCTTAATGCAAACAATTTGCTTAATGCATACAATAAAAAAGTGTAATTTTATTGTAGATATGTTTAAACGGATGGTTTTGGTCAACCGTATTTCATTCACGGGACTGGCCATTTACAGAAGCTATGGACTATTCTTGTGCGTTTAGTATGGTACTTACACTCTTATATTGCATGCTTTTAAGGTATGTGCAATAAGTTTTTAATGAATATAATTAACGTACTAATATTTAAAAATATATAAAATAATCATTGAATTAATTAATATATATTTAGTAAAGTAACTTTAGAATATATTCAAAGACAAAGTCTTTTAATATATTGTTATGCCTGCATCGTGCCGACACCCGTCCCGTATCGTCTCTGAGCGAGTCAAGTCGAGAAAACTCTCGAAGTCGCTGGGCGACGTGCAGCAGCTCAGATGTTGAACGGAATTGATGAATTTGGATTTGGCGATTGGAACGTCACTTCGCTCGGACGTGCCATGATGCAAGTAAACATGGTGTGCTCGTAACTAAGACAAGTTTGCGCATGCAACGCGCTGACCTCATTTTTAGCAGACGAAAATTCTGCGGCTGCAGGAGGAGCGACGGTCGTGGGAAACGAAGCTGCTGGCGGTGTTGCGACAACGCGATAAGGAGCTGGTGCAGTTGCGAAGCATTGCAAAGAAGGCTGCAAGAGCACGGCCCTCAACAAAATGCCCAGCTAAGTCCTAGTTCCATGTTAATAAGAGAACTGCATTGAATATTATAATAAAAGAAAGAAGTACGCAAGGTTCAAGAGAAGAGTCTAGATTGTTAAGAGGAATCTAGAGAGGCTAAGGGAATGCCCCAGAATTTGACTCTGGGAAGACTGGTTTTTTCCTCGGAGAAGTCAAGAGGGAGTCCTGCTCAAAAGCCTGCCGCGAAGCAAAATAAGCGCTGAAGAAGACAGAGCTCAGTAATTTGTGCAGTAGCGCAGAGTAGAGCGGGAAATTGTCCAGGAGCTTCAAAATTCGCTTAGGAGACACACTAGCTCGCCGTAATTGAGGGGCTGGATTCTATAAGGGGATACGCGTGATAAGTATTGCCCGCAAGGACTAATTTTGGACATCGCTCTAATTTCAATTTTGACGACTAATTCTTGTAGAAAATTTCATAGCGCACCTTTTTTATCATTAAACCAAATTTGGAATTTTTTTGTTTTCAAGTTATAAACAAAAAAGTAATTTTTTTAATGAAAAAATTTCAAAGGTTTTTGTGTTCAACTCGCCATATCTCAGCCAAATATGAATATTTTTCTTTGAAATTTTAACAGGATAAACTTCAACATGTTTCTCGAAATATAAAGCACAATTTTTTGAAACATTTCACAGCCAAATGCCGAATTTTTCAAAATATTCCTCTCGAATTCGTAGTTTTATTCATTCAATCACAAAAGTTATGGTACGAATTTTCGATTTGTCAACTTTTACCGATACTACAATTTTACTTATTAGTTAAGGAAGTTTTTTGGAAATTTTTAGCTCTTTAAATATTATGGTTGTAACGTAATAACGATTTATATGTCGATCCGATTACGTAGCGCGCTGCGCGCAACGCGAAAGTTCGAGCCGTTCGCTTCCGCGAAACAAGGGTATCAATAATGTATCAAAACATAATATACTTATTAAGGGCTCCCAAAATCTTTTTCAACTTCTTAGTTATTTACAGTTACAAAATAAGAATTAGAGTATCATATCAATAAAAACTGTCAATAAAAATTGATCACAAAGCGTATTTTTAATCCATTAGCGTATATAAACATACTCCTTTTCGTTGTGTGTAATGAGATACTATTCTACGAAATGTAAATACATAAAAAACGAAGTGAGTACATTTTTTTACATAATAGCAAATATTCATCATTTCATTTATTGAATTAATTCACACGTACAGAATAATTCTTATTTTGTAACTGTAAACAACTAAGAAGTTGAAAAAGATTCTGGGAGCCTTTAATAAGTATATTATGTTTTGATACATTATTGATACCCTTGTTTCGCGGAAGCGAACGGCTCGAACTTTCGCGTTGCGCGCAGCGCGCTACGTAATCGGATCGACATATAAATCGTTATTACTTTACAACCATAATATTTAAAGAGCTAAAAATTTCCAAAAAACTTCCTTAACTAATAAACAAAATTGTAGTATCGGTAAAAGTTGACAAATCGAAAATTCGGGGTGATCCCGATTGATCACGGCTCGATTGGACACCACCAATCACAGCGACCGGTGTTTAGGAGCTTTGTAGTCTTAAGCGCTGTGAGTGGCTCGTGTCCAATTGAGCCGTGTCCAACTGGGTGCCACCCGAAAATTCGTAATAACTTTTGCGATCGAATGAATAAAACTACGAATTCGAGAGGAATATTTTGAAAAATTCGGCATTTGGCTGTGAAATGTTTCGAAAACTTTTTATATGTTTTATATTTCGAGAAACATGTTGAAGTTTATCCTGTAAAATTTCAAAGAAAAATATTCATATTTGGCTGAGATATGGCGAATTGAACACAAAAACCTATTGAAATTTTTTCATTAAAAAAATTACTTTTTTTGTTTATAACTTGAAAACAAAAAAAATTCCAAATTTGGTTTAACGACAAAAAGATGCGCTATGAAATTTTCTACAAGAATCAGTCGTCAAAATTGAAATTAGAGCGATGTCCAAAATTAGTCCTTGTGGACAATACTTATCCCGCGAAATCCACGCATATCCCCTTATAGAATCCAGCCCCTCAATTGTGACTGTCGGGACGACAATGGGGAAGATAAGCAGGGGGGCGCAGGGGAACGCTTCGCGAGCGTAATATTTTGTAGTACATAATATGTTACACTCGCGAAGCGTTTCCGTTTGCGCGACCAAATTGCCAGCCTGAGTGAACGCGCAATATTGTAACATATCGAACAAGCAAAGCGTCTGCGTAGCACGGCGAAATACCAGAGCTGGTGGAATCAGAAAGGTGAAGCACTGCGCATAATGGGGCAAGGAGGGCATTGCATTTTACTGTCTATCGACCAATTAAACGCTATTGACATTTCATTGTCTACTGCGCATCCTTCGGAATGCTTCATCTTTCTGATTCCACGTGGTTCCAACCGCCAAATCCGTCAATTCCCTGCAACAGCTGCCAAGCTGCTGCACGTCGCCCAGTGACGCGCTCTTCATATTTTCTCGACTTGACTCGCTCACACTCGGACTCAGAATCGAGTCGAGGAAATATAAATAGCATATCTCCGACCTTCGGAGACGGTACAGGACGGGTGTCGGCACGGTGCGGCATAACAATATATTTAATTTATTAATTTTCATTATTTTATATTAAATCTAATATACGTGGTAATTATTTTTAGGATAACAAACAAGGGAACTAAAACATTTATTATAATAACTTGTGGATATGTGAGCATTTTGTGTACACATTTGTCACATTTATGGTCAGGCAGAATTAATTATGGTTATAATATGATGCTTAATGTAGCGATAGGTAAATTTCATATTGTAATTGTGTGTATTGTACTTACAAGAAGATAACAAAACTATATTGTAAAATTGAATTGTTTATAATTCTAGGATTAGCGACTGTCATGATAACAATGCTGTGGTGGTATTTTAACCGCATTAAGTTGCCTTACGTATACTTAATCGCTTGGTTCAATATATTAACTATTTTCGTGACTCTACTCGAGTTGGCAGATTTTCCTCCTATTTTTTGGATATTTGATGCCCATTCCTTGTGGCATGCTAGTACTGTTCCCTTGACAGTATTATTATATAGGTAATTATGCATGCATCCTATACATGTAAATAATTATAGAATACAGATGTATTTTCGTTATTATTTGAATTACATTTATATACATGATATGAAATATAATTTGTGTAGTAAAGCTTATATTGAACTTTGTACTTATTGTACATTCTTATTAATATAATTATTGAGTATAATAGAACTGCGATTACATATATAAATACAATTAAATATAACTATGCCTTTAATTTCATACAGGTTTGTGATCGCAGATTGCTGTTATCTGGAAAAGTATTGTAACAAATCATTTTTAGATATCGATCGTCATAGGCAGTAATTTCATAATACATAATGCTGATCTAAGTAGGTCTACTCAAATACATTCAGGGTAAGATAAAAAATATAAATATGAATTTTATTTAAAAAAATATATGATGTTCTAATATTAGATGTATATAATACATACAATGGAAAAATTATTACTAAACTAAATAGAAATTTTAATTTAAAACTATTTCTTTATAGAATAAAAAATTGTTGTTTTTTATTACTTACCTTGTCAAGAACAATTTGTGTTATATATGAGGAGACACGGTAGTGTCTCAGCGCTAAGCCAATCGCAACGACACTACCGTGGTTCCTTTACGCGAGACCGCGAGTTGCGGGAGATTGAAATTGGATCTCAATAACAGTTGAACCAATCAAGTTCTACATATGCTTAATCAATAGCGTCTACTCAAATTGTATAATAAAAATTCTACTTACAGCATTTTTCCCTTGGGATGCACTAGGTATACCCTTGCATCTCGCTAGTTGCATTTAAGCACTGCATTGCACTGGAGTGGTACACACCATAGTGTACACTATTTCATTGACTGCGTTTAGCAAAAAAAGCAGCTTTGCACTGTTGTAAAATTCTTGAATACGATTGGTCTTACTTTTGGTTCCTTATCGAGCTAAATGTATAAACTAATCATAATGAAGAATTTTACAACTGTTGCAAAGTTGCTTTCTTTGCTGAAGTGTAATCTGCAGAGAGAGATAAAATTTGGCTTGGGACATTTCTACTATGGATATAATTTTATCTGCTGGGTATGTCTTATTTTAAATAAAAGTATAAAAGTATATAATAAA